ATGAGGGCGACGGGAAGATGGAATGAGGGCGACGGGAAGATGGAATGAGGGCGACGGGAAGATGGAATGAGGGCGACGGGAAGATGGAATGTGGGCGACGGGAAGATGAAATGAGGGCGACGGGAAGATGGAATGAGGGCGACGGGAAGATGGAATGAGGGCGACGGGAAGATGGAATGAGGGCGACGGGAAGATGGAATGAGGGCGACGGGAAGATGGAATGAGGGCGACGGGAAGATGGAATGAGGGCGACGGGAAGATGGAATGAGGGCGACGGGAAGATGGAATGAGGGCGACGGGAAGATGGAATGTGGGCGACGGGAAGATGGAATGAGGGCGACGGGAAGATGGAATGAGGGCGACGGGAAGATGGAATGAGGGCGACGGGAAGATGGAATGAGGGCGACGGGAAGATGGAATGAGGGCGACGGGAAGATGGAATGAGGGCGACGGGAAGATGGAATGAGGGCGACGGGAAGATGGAATGAGGGCGACGGGAAGATGGAATGAGGGCGACGGGAAGATGGAATGAGGGCGACGGGAAGATGGAATGAGGGCGACGGGAAGCTTCTCACCATGCGATATGTGAAAGGCAGGCGCGACCAAATGGCGGGGAGGGGATTTCCCGGGCAGGGCGGGAGGCAAGATGCTGAGGCTGTCTCTAGCGCGTTTGTTTCTAATCGGCTCCGACGCGCGGCGTAAGATGGCTACGCATTGTTTGTGTTTGTATGTGACCTATGGGAAGCGAGCGTGGTCGAGTGTTTGTGTATTAGCCTATACTTTTAGACTCTCTGAATAAATCGCCAGTTCAGGCCTCGATGTGTCTCGCTAACTCACGCCCGCACTGGCATTTAGTAACAGCCTCCTCTATCCTCACCCTAAGCATCGCACTTTGCTGGTCCAGTCCACACGGACATTCGCTCCCTACGGCTATTCCGCGTATTTCTAGAATCTAAGGTGGCGCCCTGCTGAAGTGGACTAAGCAACTAATATGTTTGTTCGAGTGCATGTGTGGCTGCTCAAAGTGTGCACAGTTTCCCTGGCACGTTGCTTCTCAGGTTTGTCGAGTTTGGGAAGAAGGGCCCTGCCTGCTTTTTACAACCAATCAGCATGTAGGGAGTTTGTGGCGAACTACTTTCAGTCGCAAAGTGTTTTTGAGGCTTCGCCTGTCACTCAACCCATCCGAACCTCCAACTGGCAGCCCGCCGAACCTAGAAATACTCAGTTGACTTCCGTTGAGTAATTCAGGTCTTGGGCTTTAAGTGTGACTTAACACCTGGTCTTCTTCGGGTTTCATCTCGGCGCAGCTGCGGAAATTTATCAGCATGCACTGTTCTGAGGAAATTTATCAGCATGAAGGGGGGCGTTTCTTTTCTCGGTAGTTTCACGGCACTGTTCTCAACTTTGTCAGCATGCACGGTGCGACGAACGCCCGCGATGGCTGCATCGAAATAAACGGTCCCTGATCAACCGCGCTTAACTGTCGCGTCAGCAGGGTCCCGCCACAATCGCGTCTACTTTGACCGCCCGATCGATATCCGACTACATCAACGGCCTACATTCCAACCGTTCATTCGAATTGGTCAAGATTAATCTCATCCGTCCGATTCACTTTGACCGAAGATCTACAACATTCTCGTTATTACGGGACCCTTCTAGGTATAAGGAGGTCTTGTTTGGAAGGTGGGAGAGTGTACGGATTTAGAAATCCTTACTGAAGCAGTCCTTAGCGAGTACTTCCCGACGGCCACCCGAAAATCTGGTTCGGCCCAAACCACTCCCGAGTCTCGTTATTCGTTGTCTGTGCACTCTGAAAGTTCATTCATAACGCCGAACCTGTGCCAACAACTCCTGCACCAACGAACCTAACGGAATTAGTTTTCCCGCCTAATTCTCCCCGTCTTGTCCGCCGAATCCAATTGCAACCGAGCCACTCGTCCGTGGGGTATGAATTGAATTCAACAATGCTTTGGTGCACAGATAAGGTCCCTATTTTTCGCGTTCCCCAAAACGTCTTCCATTCCAACAAGCACAACAGATCACGTGTTCTAGTTCTGCCAGGCATAAGTTTTGGCATGCTGGGTCACAAGTTCGAGCCTCGAAGGCGAGACTTGGGTCGGAGTGAGTGGGGCCGGGAGGAGGGTGTCAAAGAGGGAAGTTAGTTTGGATCGAAGGATTCAAGAAAAAAACATCGAAAAAAAAAAAAAACAATAGAAAGGACATTATGCTACGGGATGTGAGGAAAGTCACGCGTTGTGCCCTTGGGTTCCGGGGATTCATTCCGCGCAAGCCTGGCGCTGGGGCATTTCGCCAAGACCGCCATGCCACCGCCAGAAGCAAGCAGCAAGCAGCAGTAGCAAGCAGCAGGTTCTCGAATCTGGTGGTGGTTGGTAGGTGCACTGCAGTGCTCGATGGGGTGTCTGGGGTGTGGCGCGTGCGAACCGCTCTACGTTTCCCAAGTTTCTCCCATTCATTTTGCAGTTTAAACCACTACTGCTGTAACCTTAGTATGTGTACTGTAAACTAAGCGCATCTGCTGTGAACTGCTCGCATTCTTCGTCGTTTTTCACTAAAACGTTTCAGCCTCATCCAAGCCGCGGTCAAATGAATGAGAGACAGTCGAGCGACCTTCTCAGTGCTGTCGTGGCACGCATGTGATGCGGACGTTAGGCAGCAATCCACGGACAGCACCCCGACCCAGCACCTTGACCTGCGGTCCAATCACGACAGCGGAGTCGAGCCATCAGTGCTCCATGCGATACTATCGTGTCCTTTTGCGGAGAGACGATTCAATTAGTCTTTTTCGTTGGGCGGAACTCTGAAATTAGATTGTGACTCACCTCACATGGCATCCCCTGCGGGGTGCCCTTCCGTTCGTTCGTTGGAAGCAACCATGGCCCTTCTACAGGGACTCGAGCCACACGAGGGCTCGGAAGTAGTACTAGTAGTGGTTCCAGCTCCCACCAACTTCGTGATAAGTTCAGCGAGAGGAATTCACGCTTGCTCCGTGCGCGACAGAGATGAAGACCCGTTTAGGCTCGAGAGGCTCTCATTCTTTGGATAGACCAGAAGAGACCGCACACGATGGTCACTACTTGCGACGGCCAGACGACCCTGGGGTTTGTGGCTGGCGGAACTCCTCACGGGGCCGCAGGGTGGGACGGCATGTCGGAGTCACAATCTGTCGCACGTGCTGCTGCGAGTCGCCGTGCTGTCGCAGCGTTGAGGAGTGCTGTCGCTTCCCGCCCCTGTTCTTCTACATCATGTTTGACGGTCTCAGGCGGGTTGTCACCTGCCCTGCATGCGACGAGTGCAGTGACGGGGCGAGCGAAAGCGCGTGGAAGGGTGGCGACGACGACAGCGCCGCTGAGCGTGGATCACGGAGAAATGCCAGCAGAGGCACCAGGGGCACTGATTGCGTGACATCCAGCGCAGCTTCTCGGAAATACCCAATTTTGGAACACCTTGTTCGGCTACGGATCATCGATCGCGAAGGTGGAAAAACCGCTGATTCACCAGCGGCGTCAAATTCCATGTCACAGCCGCACTTCGCGGAGGTGCATACTTACGCCGCAAGCGGTGAGACACGCGAGGCGCAGTTTCTCTTTGCGCTGGAGCTTTTCCAGAGGGATTCACGCGAGCGTATCAACAAGCCCATGGTCGGTTTGGTAATCAATCGCGAGCACAATGAATTTGATGAGTACTGTGGCGCGGGCGCGTTTGAGCGAGGCTGGGGCGACGAGCTCTGGCGGCAAGACCCGCTCTTGTCGTGCTTCGTCTCCGCCGTGCACTGCCTCACGAGATTGCTGGACGCCACCCGTGTCTCAAACTCGCTGACGTCAGCGTGGTCGACGAGCAAGAGAAGCAACGAGCAGGCGGAGCGGTCGAGTTTATGGCTCTGGCGGGCGGCTGCGGGGCACGCGACGCGAAAATATCGCGGAAAGATGCATGGTAGACTGAAAGAGGGGATGCAGCAGCAGTTGTCTAGGGTTTGTGGGGGAACAGGCTGGGACTCTGGGAGCTGAGGAGGGGAAAGGCGAGCCCCCAAAAGGTCCTGCTTTTTTTTTTTTTTTTTTTTTTTTTAGAAAGCCAATGGACACATACATCCTTCTCCAGTTCAATAACAGCAGGGACGAAACAAATAAGGGCCCGACTGGGATGGAGAGATTTGGAGACGGGAAGAGAAAAAAGAGAGAGAGCAAGGAAATGGGAAAGGAAAGGAATAGGGAAAGTAAAGCCAAGAGAGACCCAAAAGCACGACACCCCAAGAAGACACCCTATCTAAAAGCCCCCTTCACCTACCCCCCCCCCCCCCCCCCCCCCCCCGACGCCCCTCAAAACGGAGCGGACACCAAATACTGAGCGTCCACCCACAGTGCCCCCCCCAACTCCTCAGTGTCCTCCCTCTCCCTGTCCACCAGATCGATATCTGCTCCTCCCATAGACGATGCAGCGCGAAGCAGAATGACTCGAGCTTGGGCACGCTGCAAAGCCACCCCAATCATAGCCTTCAAGGATCCCATGAGATAAAAGGAAAAGGACTGGTCATCCTCCTGACACGCCCCCCTCGAAACGGCAAGTCCGAAATGTGCGTCCCCCTGCTGCCGCAGCCAACGCCGAAAACGTCCACCTAGGCAGTAATACCGACACCTTGGAGCTCTCGGTGAGAGAGGAGGTTATTGCGAAGGGTAGGGATGTGGAGACCTGTGACCCTACCGGAAGGGAAAGCGGTGCAAGGGAGGGTGGAGAGGTGAGTGCATGGGATGGAGAAGCTGGAGTCAGCACCATGAACCTGAGTGGGAAGTGGAAGGGGAGTGAGGGTGCCAGCGTCTTTGAGTGCAGTTTCTGTGGCCCCACTGTCAAGGACAAAGTCCAAGGTGGGGGAGGAAAGAGGGGGAGGTGACACAGGGTACTGGAAAGACGTCTCATTGATAGCAGAGGGATACATGGAAGCGACGGATGGTGCAACAGCAACATGACCAAGGAAACTGCCCTGAGAGTCAGGGACACTGGGGGGGGCAGAGGGGATGGAACCCCAGGGGGGGGGGAGCAAGGGAGGCATGGGCGGCCATGGCCGCTGTGCCGAAGGTCATCGGTTGCTGCTGCCACTGCGGCTGAAGGTACTGTGGCAGCTGCTGCTGCTGGAAGAACTGCTGCTGCGGTGGCTGCTGCGGCTGGAGAAACTGCGGCTGCTGCGGCTGGAGAAACTGCTGCTGCTGCTGCTGCTGTGGGAAGTACTGCTGCTGCTGCTGCTGGTGCTGCTGAAACTGCTGCAGCTGGGAAGGGGGGGAGGGGGTGAGCAGGCGGAGGTGAGCGGGGAGGAAGGAGGGGAGGGATTGAATGTCCACGAGGGAGGGGCGAGGGGTAACACTGTTCCAGCGAGGAGGGGTACCAGTGTTGCCGCGGTCAAACCAGGCGTCATCGAGTGCCTTGAAGCATGTGGCAGGGGGGTGGTTGGTCTGCCCACACGGCGTGCCGGCGTGGGGACCATGGCGGCGAACGTACGTGCAGGGGGGGAGAGTCCCAGGGCGACCTCCACGGACCACAGCTCCACCGGCACCCGAGGGACCTCCAGGAGTGGTACCACTAGGACCACCACCACCACGGCCACGGCCACCACGGCCACCACCGCCACCACCCCGACCACCACCACCACCCCCGCCCCCTCCACGACCTCCTCCGCCGCCGTTGCGACCACCCGGGTTGCGCGGCTGCGTGACATTGAGGGAGGTGGAGGAGGAAGGAGTGGTGGTGAGGTTGACAATGGGGGTGCGGAGCTTGACTTCAGTGTCAATGATCCACTGAGTCACCTCGGTGAGGCCAGCCAAGGGGTTAGCCTCGGTGAAGGCGTGCAGGCGGGACTCGTAGTCCGGCGTGAGGTTGAAGAGCTGACGATGAATCTGCAGGGGCTCGGAGAGGGCAGCCTGTCGAGCGGCAAGGCGATCAGCGACCTCCTGCATGCGCCCCACGTAGTCGACAGCACCGTCACAGGTGGCAAGGGTGATGGAGAAGTACTCCTGGAAGAGAACGCCGACGGAGCTGATGTCGCGGCGCTCGAACATAGACTGGAGCTCGGTCCAGATGAGGTGAGCTCGCATTTCACGAGCTTGGAAGCGGCGCATGAGGGCGTCAGGGAGGGCACCGAGGAGGATGGTGCAGGCGCGGTTGTCGGCAGCGGCCCAGGCGATGCTGTTGGGGACGTAAGTCGCCATGGAGGTGTTGTACTCTGCAATCAACGCCAGGCGAGTGGCACGCTCCGACGTCACAAACTCGTAGTTGAGTACAGCAACCTCATGGTCGGCTTTGCGGATAAGGTACTCGCGGCGGTCGTGGAGGAAGGTGGCGTCAGCAGCGGCCTGAAGCTCGGTGGTATCGGCCACGCCCAGGTTAGGCTCAGGAGGAGGGGGGCCAGGATCGGGAGGGAGAGGGGGAGGTTCGCCAGGGTGATTGGGTGCAGTCGGCTGGAGAGCCTGTGGACGGCGAAGGAGAACGTCGAGGGGTGAACTGCACTCCCCGGTTGCGCGCTAACAGCGGCGCGTAATCTCCCGTCTTCCTGCGCTCCCACTCCCTGGCCGCCACTCCTATAGACCGCCCACACTGCCCGACCAAGGCTGGAGACAGTGACAGTGGATCGGCAACACTGACCTCCAGAGCATGCGCCTCCACCGCCGTTGGTCGGCGCACCGCAACATCCACCCGCTTCCCTACCAACATCGAGTCGTCCTCCATCGACACCACCCCTCCCGACGCCTTAGCGATCCTAGCCACCGCAAACTTTACCTCGTCGTGCACCCGTGACGGCCCGTGCTGGTGCTTACAGCGCAATGCATGGTGTGGATCTGCCGGGTCCGTGTACTCAGTGCCGCAAATGCAACGGCCTGCGACGTGCAGCTGCTGAATCGGAAGGCCCAAACGCACAGCCGCGGCAATGCCCCACTCAGCAGCTGTAAAGGTCAAGTCTGAATGGGCAGGCACCGCCGAGACCCAAGCACCAGCTCCCGGGCCCTGAAGGGATGTGAAACGGGCCAGGGTAGCATCGTCACGGGCCATACAACGGAGGGCCTGGAGCTCCTCCACAGCTAACAGCCGCTGCCGTGTCTGGAAAAGTCGAACTGGTGGGGCCGCTACGCAGAGGTGGAGACCCGGCATCTCCTGGCGTACAGCGTCAGGCAGCTGCTCGAGGCTCTTGGAGAACCACGGGTCGAGAAAATCCACCCCCCCCGAAGAGCTGAGGTAGTCCCTAAACATCGCCTCCTCTCCCGCTATCCCCAACTGAGCCACACCTCGCACCGCCTGCGTCCATCCGCAGGCATAGGAGAGTGGGCTCAGAGACGCCGCAGCCCGTACACCGAAACCACCCAGACGGACTGGGAGGTGCAGCTGCAGGCGCGCCAACCTAGACCGACCAGGGTCGTGCTCCCATGTGCCAGTCCTGCTTTTGTGATGGGCTGGCCTCTGTTCATAACGTATTATGGATACCCGCTACTACGGTACCAGTATAATTTCATGTGTAGAGGGTGATTCGGTCAGGACCTTTACGTTCATTATTTTGCTTCGATACGTAGCAATAGTGAGACTACGGGCGCATTCATGAATAACCACATGGGATGTGAACCTACTCTCAAACGATATGCCAGTCTCCACGACCTCATCATGCTGGGTTGAAAACGAAGCCCTTCGGATCTTTTAGTAGATTAAAGATTCCAACAAATGAATGTGATCCCAAGGTCAGCGTATGTACAGAGAGGAAAGGGAAGACTATGCAGCGCCATAGCAACAGACGAGCGGAGCGGTGCCTTTTTATGGGCAAATGGCTGCTTATTGCCTCTAGCCAACAAACGCCTTCATGGGCGAGCGATGCTGAGAGCGACCCAGAAACTTGAGATGGCGCGTTCCAGCGAGGCGGGGGCGTGCGAGTAGAGCGCACGAGAGACAGCAGGCCAGGCGGGCAGCGAGTGTGTGAGGAGGCCGAGGGCGAACCAGCAGGCGCAGAGGAGAGGCACCGCTGCCGCCGCTGCTGCTGCCACCATGCGAGCGCGGTAGGACGCGGGGGTGAGGGCGGGCGAGGCAGAGGGGCGGCGGGGGGGCATGGCGAGGGCGAGGGCGAGGGCGACGAACAGCGCAGCGAGGGCAGTGAGGGCGAGCAGAGTGAGGGGGGCGGGCGGGCAGCAGTGCGGGTGCGGGCAGGCGAGCAGCGCCAGCAGCGTGGTGAGCAGCAGCGCAGCTGCAGTGGCCTTGAGGGCTGCCCGCCACAGCAGCGGCTCCGTGGGGAGGGTGAGGGCGTGGGGCTGCAGGTGCAGTGATGAGGGGGGAGCAGAAGAGGAGCAGCGACGCGAGGGGGGTGGCGGGGCAGTGGTGGCGTGAGACGAAGACGAGGCAGAGGTAGTCCACTCACTCCCAACACCCTCCTCTCCCCGCCCCTGAACCGCCCTCGTTGTCCTCCCCAGTTGCCCCCCACGCCCACGCCTTCCCCTCTGCCCTCTCCCCTCCCTGCCCCTGCTCGGCTCCTGCTCATCACCCCCCCCACCACCCCACACCGCCTCCCCCCCACCCGCCCCCCCTCGCCTCTCCTCCATGGCGGCTGCCTCCTCCGCTGCCACCTGGCACGCCGTCAGCCGCTGAGTGGCCGCCGCCAGCTCTTCCCTCAGCCGCCCGAGTGCCAGGCTGGCAGCCGCCAGGTCAGCCTGCAGCTGCGAGCAGCGCGAGGTTGAGGCGTGCAGGTCAGCATGCAGGCGCGCACCGCGCTGCCGCTCCCTCGCCAGCCCCCTCTCTGCCTCGTGCCGCGCCGCCGCCTCGTCGCCCAGCTGATGTGCCCAGCGCATGGCGCGGTGGGGTGGTTGGGGCGGTTGGGGCGGTTGGGGCGACCGTGAGAAATGGATTGGCGTTGCATGAAAAGAAAAGACGAGGGAGAAGGGAGCAATGGCGCACACAGCGGGAGAGGGACGAATGCACAAAGGAAAGTAGATGAGATGGAGAAGACGGATGAGGTGGTGGGCGCGTGAAGGAGGGGAGAGTGTGGAGAGGCCATCCCCCGCGGGGCACGGCCCTCCATTCATCAGTGGTGCTGCGCTGCACAACACCACTCCTCACCCCAGCCCCGGCGCCACCACCCTTCCCAATCCCCTCTTCCCCTCACCACTCACCCCTCCATCTCCCCCCTCCCCTCTCGCGCACCTCGCGCACGGCGCGCTGGAGGCACTCCTTGAGCTGCGCGCGCTGCGCCAGCGCCTTCCTCAGCCGCGCCGCCGCCTCGCGCGCCGCCGCCTCGCTCGCCTCCCTCGCCGCCTCCTCCCGCTTCGCGCGCTGCTGCAGCGCCGCCGCCGCCTCGCGCCAATACCCGCCCTGCTGCTGCGCCTCCGCTAGGCTTGCGCGCATCTGGAGGGGAGGGGGCAGGGCGCGAGGAGAAGGGGGGCGGGGGGAGAACGGTGGGCAGGGAGGGCGGGAGAGAAAAGTTAGAGGCGAAGGCGGCGGTAGCAAGACTCGTGCGACGCGTCTTGGCGAGGAGGGCGGATGGAGAAGAGGCAGGCGAGATGGGGGTGAACGGAGGGGATGGGGTGAGGGGAAGGCGCGGGGGACGGGGAGATCCGGACGGCGAGGTGGTGACCGGGCCGTGACGACCGCTGATGTGCCATGCAGCGGGCGGCTGACCGGGCTGGCTGCACGCGGTGTGCGACGGGGAGAAAGCGACGGCGAGGCGCGGAAGCGAGAGGCAAGGTGGAGTGAGGCGAGGGCGGATCTGGGTAAAGCGAACTCGCAAGCTCTCCGCCGCCTTACTGCGCGCGTTTTTGCTGCTTGCGGGATCCGACGTGCCTTTGCCCTCCGGCACGCTCCCCTGCGCGCACCTTGTTCTCGCGGAGGGCGGCGGAGAGCAGGCGGAAGGGCAGAAGGGGAAGCGCGCAGATGGCGGAAAGGCAGGTCGACGCGAGGAAAAGCTGAAGGCGCACAGCCGACCAGATGAACTGGCGGAGAGGCGACGTGGCGGACGCGATGGCTGACGTGGCATAGATGATGACGGACAGATGTCCATATTCGTTAGCCATGGCGGCGAGGTGGTGGTACGACGACGAACGAACATCGAGAAACGACGAAGCACAAGGCAGCGATGGCAGAAGTCTCGCAAGTGATGGACTCGCTGTTGGCGGGACCTGCAAACAAGTACCTGTTGCTGATGCCACCACTATAACGGATATATTGAGCTGTTTTAGGAGTGTGGTGCTCTAAGGAATTTTCTCGACATTCCTTACCGCGACTACCAACATCGCGTACAGCAGCAGCCGTTGTTCGCCCGTTACTGCTAACGGGGCTTCGCCAACTTCGCGCGCACTATTTCACCAAACCATGCGCCGCTGGCCCGGCCGAGTCGGCCTACGCTTCGGGGCTAGCCCGAACCTCGATGCCAGCCTAGCAATAGCTAGCTCGCACGCACCGCGTAACCGTTGCATGTTTTCGCACATAAGTATTCGCTCATGCCTTTGCTCATACTTTGTACTTTGGACCCACATAGTACAATCCTCGCTACCTCGTTCCATTGCACCCGTTACAGGTGCCATCACATGAGGCAGTATCTTCAGTACTTTCAAACTAGGTACAACCACAACTCTTGGAATAACAGACTCGGCCCAAAACTTTTTAGCCAAAACTCGTCGCCTATTAAGGTCCCCCTCTATATACTGCGTAGGATTTCATTTGTATAATAATGTTTTATCAGCTTTGTCCCATTTTATTCGGTCTAAAATGTCAAACTATATATATTTGTATGCTAGGCTATAGTGAGACACACCGTAGAGAGGATAACACTTCTAGGGTTTGTACTTGTATCTCCCACTTTCCTTAGTTGATCATTCTGCTATGCTAACTTTAAGATGGTACGTTCCTAGCCTAGATTAGCCCCGCCCCGTCCCGTTCGTAGGCCCGCCCCGCTCGTTAGCAAGCAGGCCGCGCCCCGGCCGTCAGCAGGCCCCGCCCCGTCCCGTTCGCTGGCCCGCACCTCACGCAGCCGCACGCACACAGCTGCTCGCACGCAGCCGCACACGCCTACGCGCATCTGCACACACGTGCAGCCGTACGCGCACCCGCATACGCACACGCACGGCTGCCCGCGCAGCAGCAGTCCCGCGCGCAGCATCAGCCACACGCGCACGCGCAGCTACGCGCATACCCGCACCCGCACGCAGAGCTGCAGCCGCACACCCACACACAACTGCACGCGCATTATCAGCCGCACGCGCGCCACAGCAGTCGCACGCGCAGCAACAGCCACACGCGCAACCTTGTGCAGCATCCGCAGCAGCAGCCGCACGCGCCGCAGCGGCTGAACACGCCGCAATTGCCGCACGCACAGCAGCAGCCGCACGTGCCGCAGCAGCCACCCGCACAGCAGCAACCACACGTGCAGCACCTACCGCGCCTGCATCCGCAGCAGCACGCGACTGCTCCTGTTCACGAACCTACCGTAGCACACCTACCGTAGCGCACCTGCACCCGTGCACACTACACCACCCGCACTGCTGCCTCAACTGCTGGCCCGTACTCTTGGTAACACCAATCGCAGCGGCTGGAGGCCGCATCCTCTCTCGTTTATTGGCGTTGTAGAGTATGTTTAGGGCCTGCACGCCGCTCCTAAACTAGCCGCTCTGGCAGCTTGGTACACGGCACAGCAGCGGCAGCAGTCCCAGCAGCAGCAGCCACATCAAGGACCGCAGCAGCAGCCATAGCAGGGACTGCAGCAACACCAGGGACAGCCGGACCAGCAGGTTCAGCAGCAGGTGCATCAGCAGTCTCAGCAATGGGGACCTGGTGGACCAGGGAGCGCTGGATGCGACGGTGGCCCACCCAGCTGGGCGTCGCGTGGGGTCACTCCTCCTCTCTGCCAGTACCTTGTCCAGACTGGCACCCATCAGGGTGGCACCTGTGCCGCCTTCACCCTCTGGGTCAGTGCTTTGCGCAACTCACGGACCGCGTCCGTGCGCAGTACGGCTTTGGCCCCTCTCTGGACTGGCCCCCGCTTGCTCGCTCTCGTGGTCTTGCTTTGTTTGGCATGTCTGCGGCAGAGTTAGTTGATGCCTTGTGATCTGCTTCTGTGATGTATGCCGATGTTGACAATAGTGCTGCTGGATCTGTTTGCTCGCGTGTTCGTAGCTTAGGATCCTCGTTGCTAGTGTAGGTGCTTCTGCTTCCAGTCCAGGTGCTTGTATAGTTACTAGCCCAAGTGCACCTACGGCTGACGCGTTGCTCTCTTTCACGCTAGACTCTGGCGCGTCTCAGTGCTGCGACCACACGACTATCACACCGCTTCCTGCTCCCGTTCCAGTTGCCCTGGCTGATCCTACTTCAGGACCAGCAGTTGCCCGCAGCTCTACCAGCCTCCCGTGCCCAACTGCCCCATCTGGTGTCCTCACTGGTCTCCACATCCCCTCGTTTTCCAGGAACTTGGTGGGTGTTGGACCCCTTCAGGACCTCGGTGTTGGCACCTGGTTTCCTCCGCACGAGCGTGTTGCTACCTGCGTGTTGCCACTTGGTCTACTCTGGCCACAATTCGTCAGGAGCCCCGCTCAGGTCTCTTCATACTGCACACCGCATCTCCCCAGGTAGCCGCGTCCGGTCAGGTAGATGCGTCTGGCCAGGTTGCTGCGTCGTGCTCCTGTCGGCCGCTCACCCACCCGACGGTCCTGTGGCACCACCGTCTTGGTCACCTGTCCCTCGTCCGCGTTCGTCACATGTCTAGTCAGCTTCTTATAACAGGTCTCCCGCCCATGTTTGGGCTGCTCCCTCCTTTGCCTGCGTCGCCGTGCACTCCTTACGTCGAGGGTCGGCTGCACACCACTCCTCACTCCTCCTCCCTTCGCCCGGCCACCGCGCGATACCTCTGCAGACAAGCTCTCGGCTCGCACCCTCCCCTGTGTCTTCCTTGGTTTCCTAGTGGACGCCCCTGACTTCAAGTTTTACCACCCGCCCCTCCACCGGTTCCTCAACTCCCGTGACGTCCGCTTTGACGAGCCTCTGTCCTACTACGCCCGCTACCCCCACCGAGGTCTCCCGGTTCCCCCCCGTCCCCTCTTTCTAGCTCTCACTCCTCCTCCTGGTCCTGCTCCTCTGGTACATCCTCCCCACCCTAGTCCTGCCCCGTCAGGTGTGTCTCATGCTACCCTTCTCCCCTCGGTAGCACGTCAGGTGTCGTCTTGTTCCCCACAGTCGTCCTCACAGTCACCGCAACAGCCTTCGGCACTACCGTGACAGGTTGCAGTGGACTCTGGTGGTGCTGGAGCTGGGGGTGCTAGCATTGGAGGTGCTAGTCCTGAGGTTGCTGGAGCTGATGGTACTGGCACTAGATGTGCTAATTTTGGGGGTGCTGGAGGTGGGGGTGCTGGCACTGTAGGTGCTATTTCTGCGGGTGCTGGAGCTGGAGTTGCTGGCACTGGAGTTTCTGGCTTTGAGGGAGCTGGAGTTGGAGGCACTGCTACTGCGGCGCCTACTCCGCCTCCCCACCACTACCCGGCGCGTCACCAGGCTCTTTGTCGGCTGGAGCGTGAGGAGCAGGAGAGGTTGGCGCAGGAGAGGCTGGAGTTGGACCAGCAGCATCAGGTGCTACAGCAGCAAAAGCTGTAGCAGCAGCATCACCAGCAGCAGACGCCACATCCGTCACTGTTGCAGCAGTTGTTCCCACCTGTGAGTGGCCTCCGGACCCTTGGTCTCCCTTCCTCCCCTCCGGACCGCTCACCGCCTCTTACTTCACACGGTCTTCCTCCTTCAGACTCGTCTCTGGCCGTGTTCTCTCCTCCTGGGTCGCAGCCGCCTCCTCCTGTTGTCCCTCACACCTGGACCAATTGTTGTCCCCGAGGTGCTCGTGCCTCGTCTTCTCTTAACAACATCTGATCTGTCTTGTTTTGTTCTAGTCCTCCTCGTTCTCCGCCTCAGTCTGTTCTCCCGCCACCTCCTGCGTCGTCTCTTACGACCTCCTCTCACCCTATCACTGACAACTACCATACTGCTCGTCCTGTGGTCTCACGTGTTCTCGCCTCTCTTGGCACGGACCCTACCGCCCCTCCGTCGTCTGTCTCGGCTCTTGTTGCCGCTGTCTCTGACTTTGCCTTGACTACGCCACCCGCGTGGTGGCTGCCCGTTCTTTGTCCGCCGGGGGTGACGTCTTAGAGGACAGGCAGTTTGAGCTGGAATTCTTGGCAACCGCTTCTCCCTATCTCTGTTCCATGCTGCTAGCCCCTGAGGGAGACCCCGACGCCCTTGATATACCGACTCCTCGCACGTACCGTGAGGCAGTGTCAGGGCAGTGGGCCTCTCAGTGGATAACGGCCATGGACTCTTGGAGATCCACAGGCACTTACGTTGACGCAGTTCCTCCTTCAAGGGCGAACGTAGTCGATGGCATGTGTGTTGAATTACATTCTCTAGTGTAACTGCCTGTAGCATTAGTTACGGTAGTTATCTCCATTAAACTGTTGGTGGTGTGCCTTTTGGTTGCTTGTTTCCTATTTGTATTGCTCGCTCAATGGTGAACATACATTATTCTCGACATTCCTCCTTGCAAACACCCGCTCGACTCTCTTGGCCTAGGCTCCTAAGCCTAGGCCCTAGCTGAACTTGGTTCCTAGCTAAGTTAGTATCGTGACAATGTGGATCTTCAAGGTGAAGCCGCCGCCTGGATCACCACCTGTCTTCAAGGCGCGCTACGTGGCTAGAGGTTTTAGTCAGAGTGAGAGAGTAGACATCTTCCACACCTTCTCCCCGACCCCGAAGATGACTACTCGTTGGGTGTTACTTCACGTTGCAGCACAGCGGGACTACGAGCTGCAGTCACTGTACTTCTCCACTGCCTTTTTTCAGGGCCGCGTGCACAAGGAGATCTGGCTGCGTCGTCCTTCTGGTTTCACTGGCACTTTCCCGCGTGAGACCCAGTGGAGCCTGAGACGAACAGTCTACAGTCTCCGTCAGGCGCCTCGTGAGTGGCACGACACGCTTCGCGCTACACTTGCTGGCCTTGATTTCATACCTTCTACCGCCGACCCGTCGCTATTCGTTCGTTCAG